TGTCTAACCTGTAAATATGTGAAGTCTCACTGAAGGTAAAATGCACTGAATGTACTTTTCTATTGATTGTTTTGTTATTCTCTCTTTGTTAAATGCTTAAAATGGCCAAAATTCTCACTTCTGCTGATATTGACCTGTTAATGTCTAGAAATTTTAAATAACAAATGTGCCCATTTAGACAAAACCAGCCTATATGTAAAGTGTAAATTATGTGAAGGTAAACATGAATAAATGTATAAATGCTGGACTTTAACCAGAAAGCTCCTCATGAAACATTTATTGAGTTTTATAGTACTTCCAGTATTTACAGTATTTAAAAAAAACACTGCATGACAATATTGTATATAATTGAAAACTACACCACAGACTGTAAATGTTAATTTGTAAAAAAAAAAAAAAGCAGAGATCTTACTGTCCAAGCAGAAGGACTCAGCATTTTGCACTGGATCAAACACAAACATTTATTGCTGTCTTACAAGGTTACTATTGCACAAGGAAAACCTTAAATGGAAACGTATTGCACTCAAACCTTTTAGCTAATAACCAGTGTTCCACTGTATCATTCAAGTCCCTGTTAAAATAGTTTTACAAAAATCTAAAGACATTTTCTGCTCCAAAATAGTTTAAAAAATATGTACAATTTTAAACAACTTGAGACACTGTAACAGGTCTAAATATCGTGTACATGTATGGAATAATTGCCAGGAACAATACAGTTCATATTTCAAACACACTCACTTGGACTAACCTACTTTAGTGACAAACGCTGCTGGAGAAGGTGAATCCTGTAAAACAGGCACAGCATCCATCATACGAGACAACAAGAGAATGGAACCCACTACACTAAAGTAATTGTTACTCAAATTTTGAATGTAATGATTGATGTGAATTGAGGGTGAACAGTCAGGTTATTGTCAACAAACATCACTTGTTACTTAAATGATTTTGTGGAAGAGGCAGGACTGAGGGTATTTGGGTGAGTAAAGTCCTAGCTTAACCGGATTCACTCGGGTGTGTAAAATGCCTGAAGACAATGTAGAGAGTTGCTTGTTTTGAAGGAAATTATGAACTTGATGTGTAAACAATAAGGAGGAAGGCCGCAGTGCTGGTTACCAGTTATTAAGAGGCCTCATTCTGGAAACACACACTATGTTCAAATTGTCCTAAAAATGACTCCTATTTCCTGTTCCCGACCTGGTGATGTTCTCCATCGAGGTCAAAATGTTTAAGTTGGGAAAAGAAGCCTGTGTGCTGAGATTCTAACCAACTCTATGTCTACTGTGTTGAAATTACAGCATCGAGACAATGGACGGCAAAATGCCCACCTTATTAGCGTGTTCTTACTGTGATGTTTCATGAAGGTCACAAAAAATAGCAATAGTCCTGTCCCTGAGTGTTCTGCTCAATAATACTGAAACTTGGCTGAACTGTCCTTCCTCTGGAGTCTGCACAGACCAACAATGAGCAATGCTCATAAGCATGTAGGCATAGTAGCTGTATTTTCACGAACGTGTGCGAGGCTCAAGATCTGATGCTTTTGTTTACCTTCTACACATCTTACAGGTCATACAGCTGTTTGAAAAATGCTGGCTAAATCCTGAGCTCCAGCTGTGTCTCAGACCTTTGAACCTCACATTCTCCAGTTTCTATTTCTAAGACCTGCGTTGGTTCGCACAATCCTCGTTGGGTTTCTCACCGGTTCTGCTGTTTTTGAGCTGCTCATTTGTTCTGCTCTTGGCAGCATATTGATTATTATTGAAATGAATCGGCTGCATCTTTAAATTTCATTAAATTAGTGCACTATTATTAGATCATGATCATTAGGGCATCATGCTAATTTGCCCTGCCCCATAGCCCGTAAGACACATGAGCAGGAAAATGATTTATTTCATTTAAGTCCTTGATTTCCATGACTGAAGTAAAGTTTCCTCCATCCATCACTTATTCTAGCTGACCTTAAGTAAAAATTAATTCCATGATAAACAACAAACATTCCAAATGTGAACTGTGCATTATACTTAAGTCAATTATTATAGCTCTTATTTCTCTTGATGTAGACCTTAACATAAGGTCTTTAGACCAGAATTTGAAATGCTTTTATTATAGCTGTCATGCACCTGTATCACTTTACTCATTAGAAAACTTCCTAACCAAAACTGACTATTTGAAAGCGCCCACGTATTTCACTACGACTGATTTGAGGTAAAAAACAGGAAATGCAGGCAATCAATTGCAATAAAGAACGACTGAGAGGATGAGAAGGAGGGAAACGCTCCACAGTTATGGCACAACAACACAAATGCCTATATAAAGGGAACCGCTCACAAGCACAGTTTATCCTCCTATTTGGTGTGTAATCCCAGATCCAGAGAGGCTGTTCATCACTGAAATGTACCTAAACCTGATCGCTGCCCTCCTTGAAGTAGACATGCTCCCACACCACTGTGCCCCAGATGCAGAAGAAACCCCAAAGGTTTTGGAATGTCCCGCGGTCAAAGGGGTTCTCATCTGCACCGCAGTGTTTGAGGTAGGAGATGCGGTGGCGCGACATGAACTCCCACGTGGTTGTGTTGAGAGAAACCAGGTATAGATGGGAGCCGAGCAGCAACAGTACGATGAGCGAGAGCAGCGCTAGCAGCATGGTCACGGCCGTCAGGACTCCGTTTGTACGCAGCCACTGGTGCCAGATGGGTACGTAGGTGAAACCCGTCCTGAAGAGGAGAGAGCAATAGGATGTGACAGCTTTGCAACAGCAGCAACAGTAACATGGAGGTAGAGATGGGTGGTGTTGCTCACCAGGCAATGTGCAGGCCCCATAGAAGCACTAGCAGCTGGAAGGCCAGGTAAAACACAAACCAGCGGTGGTTCCTCTCACCAACGCAGTTCTCAATCCAGGGACAGTGATGGTCATAACGCCGGACGCAGTGCTGACACGTCTGGCAGTGCTTTGATCTCATTGGCTGCTGCTTGAAACACAGAACAATTT